GTAAACCAATGGAGCCTCAGTCCCTCACCGCGCTCGCGCTCCAACTGGTAAGCTTTCCTTGGCGCCCATGGGTTTAAAGGTTTAGGGTTAGGGGTTGGGGGTATAGTTTAGGTCGTTCCCCCTTACCGTAACATGTACCACAATAGGTACTAGGAGTTAGATTAACCCCGTAATGAAGCCCCTTGAAAAGACAATATCTGCAAGGAGGAATGACCAAACCCCTATGGTCAATGTTAAGAATCCCGCACGGCTGTAGCCCTGCGTCCAACAGGGCTTAGGGTTTAGGGTCAAAGCCTTGAACCCTACAACCTAAATCCCTGGAGATGTAGAAGCAAACCTAGAAACCTTCCGAAACACTGCACAAGTACGTATATACATACTATAAGGTACACACATATGGAAAACAAGGAAATCCACACACACACAAATATACACGTCTATGCATACATATACATATACACACATATATATATGCATATACATATCTACATACAAACATACATACATACATACATACGTACATACATACGTATCTAAATAACAAGGGAACAGCCTACCACCCAACTTCTGATCCAAGGCGCTGCCAGAGTTCACGCAGCTCATCACTGCTTGGCTCAGTGGCGGTTCTTGTGGTTCTCGCAGAAGCCTCACTTAGAGGCCCAGGGGGCGTAGTGAGTATACCTTAAGTGGAACCCCCACCCTGTAATCGTGACTATAATATAAGGGATAATATTGATTATATTAGGGTCCTCTAATGTTCCTATCATATTGCTATTGCAGGATGGGGGGTCCTCCTAAAGTATACGCATAACCCACACGTATAAGCCTTAACAAAAACACCCTCACGTGGAGGCTCAGCGGGACTTAGTGAGTGTACCCGAAGCACATTCAGATAAGTCTCAAAAGAAGCACCCTCGCTTGGAGTCTCAGGGCGCACGTAGTGAGTATACCTAGAATCCATCCCCATAAGCCTTGAAAGAAACACCCGCACTTGGAGGCTCCAGGGGACTTAGTGAGTATTCCTAAGACCCATTCTTAAAGCCTTAAAACAACCACAGCGATCCTGCTTCTTAGTGGCCAATCAAAGTAAGACTATATCCTTCGTATAAGTATATATACTTTTGCAGTGGGTCTCAAGTACCAGTATACTCATATACTGAAAGCATAATTAAAGCAGATCTTTCTCGATGGTACACCCATTTAAGTTACAACTCATTTGAGGCTGCAAGAGTCCAGGGCAGTTTGAACCTTTCGGCTGTAGGGTACGTACCTAGGAACCTTTGGATGGTGGAGTCCGGTCGAGAAATCCTTGTCGGCAGGATCTGTGGGTTCCTGTTGAGGCGGATACTAAAGTCCTTGATGACCCGGAGTACCTTATACCTTGGGAACTATGGTGTTACTATGTCTGGGGTTTTGGTATCAGCAGTATGAATTTGAACAACAGCTCTTCAGCCCAGGATGAGGTGCTCTGGACAGCCGCTTCTGCCGCAAAGCAATGGTCACAGCGCTTCCGGCCAGCAGCCCCTCAAGTTAGAACGCGGAAGGCTCTTGCTGGGAACCCTGGGAAGCATTTAACTCAGGCTGTTGCACTTCCTTACAAACAGAACCTCTACCAGCATACTTTAACGCTTGGGTTTTTAATGCTTCCCAGTCCGCTGAATCTTGGGTGGAGGTGAACTTTCAGTTCTAAGTTTCGCGGCCACGCGCTTAAACCGCTTGCGTGGGACGATTTTGGGTTATTCAAACAGGCCCTGTGGTTTTTTTTCAGGATAACAAAGGCTGCTAAGGGCAGGGTGCCTGCATCTTGCGATAGGAGCTAAACAAAGGTTTCGCGGATAGGAGCTTGAGCACCCCGCCATTCCCCAACCGCCTCTCCACAATCAAGGACTGAGGGCCTTTCAGAATTGCAGCATGGTATCCCGAAAATTTGCTCACTGCAAGAGATTCCCAAGATAATCCTGTATATGGTCGTCTCCATTTATGTTTTCCAGTTGATGCTCCAGAATCGGTATAAATGGGGCCTACCTTCTTAAATGCGCACTAGGATTTCTGACTTTCAGATTCCTCCATGAAGTGGTCTTGGGCTCTCTGTTGCCTTTACAGCATCCCTTTTTACAAAACTCTTAACTTAACCATCCTACTGGCTTGCTGGCCTGGAACGCCCAGGGCGGGACGAGTGAAGGTGCCAGAGGCGTCGGGGATGAATTCCGTCTTTGCAGGCCAGGAACCTGGCCGGGCGTGGCTAAGAGAACTGCATGTGAGCTAGAGTCTAAACTCCCGGTATCACCCTTAGTAAGCCCTATGATACTCCCGTACATAATCCCATATATAACCCCCTGTATGGAGTTGAGACTATAGCTCATGTAGGGACCATGTACCTGGTATAGGTAATATAGGTAGGAATCGTATGGATTAAGGCTTAGGGACGTATATTTTCTGATGATTTGATGGAACCCTCATATGAGCTACACTATTTTTTCATCATTTCATGGACATGGGTTCCTTACGAGGGACTATATCCCTTAAGAAGGCAACTATTAACGGCAGTTCATAATCTCTATAAACCCCTATCTAATCCCAGTTTCCATTTCATTGTACATCTTCTCTTTCACTTGACTCTCTGTTGTTGGGGGGTAAAGCCCCAATCCCTAAACCCTATATGTCCTTATATATAACCTTATAATTCCCCGGAACCCCCCCATTAAAACACAACAAAAAAGCTGCAGCTTCAGAGTGCGCCGCCTTTATTGGCCTCTCCGCCAGCTTCAGAGGCTCCAAGGCCACGAAGGAAGCCATGAGGCCAAAAGTGCCACTAAACCCTTTGCACCCTAAACACTAAAACCCTAAAACCCCAAACCCTAAAACCTTTACCCTACTAAATGTGGGCAAATGCTGTGGGCAAGGACTCCTCTAGCAGGCGAGATTTGTGTAGAATAGTCTGTCGCGATCGGTTCAATGATCTGTTTGGGCGTAGGGTGTTCTCCCAGACTTCGACTTCTAAGTTAGGTTTCGTGTTTTTCCCTCTTGGGAATACCCTAACCAGACCTGCAGAAAACATGTTCAGAGTATATGAACGGTATGGTGGGAATCCATCATACGGTCTCAATGTTAAGGCTATCCAGTCGAGAGTTTGCACTCTTCTGAAACAATGGTTTCATATCTGGTTCCACCGTGTCTGCTGCTCTGTCTACATAGCATTCTGCGGCGGCGAAGCCATCCGGTATATTGCTTAACCTCTCCAATGCTTGTGGTTTGGGTTCGGGTGCCATGAAGCTCGCGTGGAAGGGTGTGGAAACATGCGGTTGATAAGAGTTGCCAAGGATAGTGGGAGCCATGTCTGGGGTACTTCAGGCTGATGTCAGGTGCAGCCTAATTCAAGAACAGAAGCTGCATTGACCCGTGAAGAGAAGCTCAAAGGCAACAGCTCGAACTGTTTAAACTTTAGACGACTTATATGGCTGTTGCCCCTTGCTTGTTCTTACTACAACCATATACACTTTGACATATGCATCGTTTAGCACCATCTTGGCAGGCCTCAATTTTCTGTAGTCCTCCTTCCATGCGATTCAACATCCCGATCAAGGCCAAAGACCAAAACTAAAGAACAGTAATGACCCGCAATCCAAAACGTCAAGCCCAAAATGTTCAGTACTTTGGTGGGGTTTCATGTCTGACTCTGGTTGAACCCCCTGTAGGGAACTGAATCTGTCAGCTCCAAGAATCTACTACGCAGCATCCTTAGGCATTAGGGTTCTACAGAGGGAACAAAACAAATGTGAACGCCAGTACATCGCTCGCTCTCGCTCTCGCTCTCTCTCTCTCTCTCTCTCTCTTTTCGGTTTTTGGTCAAGAAGTCTGTCAGTTGCTAAAATATTAAGAGGGAATGTCATTTTGCTGCTGAACCGATCCCCCCTGTAGTGCCACCTCCTTACTTTCATGGAAACACAGCACTTATGCTAGGTATCATACGGTATGTTTTTGGAGATCTTGTCATGGATGGCAACGTGGCAAGTGGAATTCCACTGTCTTGGACACATGCTATGGCCTCAAAGTCTGGGATCCCAGGATGTAGCAGCAATGGGGATGAGGATTCCCGCCTATCAGCGAAAATCTTCGGCTTATAAATTTATGCATGTATACATATCTGTTAGACGCCATGAAATCCCTTCTGGGCCGAATTGGCCTTCCATTGAATTCCCCGCAGCGCTTTTTGATGCATCAGCTGTGTTGTAGCGAATTCCCATGTACACCGGACCACGGTTGGAGCTTCCAAGATGCATTCGGTACCTTCTGCGGCCTAGCAGTGATTTAGCATTACCCAATAATGGAGAATCAAATGGAAAATGAAATGGAAACCCTAGGTCCCTTTAAAGGGCTTTATAGGGATATTACCCCAATAATGGAGAATCAAATGGAAAAGAAAATGGAAAATGAAATGGAAACCCTAGGTCCCTTTCAAGGGCTTTATAGGGATATTACCCCAATAATGGAGAATCAAATGGAAAAGAAAATGGAAAATGAAATGGAAGCTGGGATTATATAGGGGTTATATTATATTATGACCAGGGTGCAGGGCCCTATTGCAAGAGGCATAACGGAACCCTTGTGAGCGGCATAATTGAGATGCCTTTGCTAGCTAGAAAAGTGGTGAAACGTCTTCCATCAAGGCTCCTGTTCGCTGTTCGGCTCCTTACTTGGCACTTGGGCGGGATCGGGTGTTGGGCAGTGTGCTTTTTGGGCCCGTTGGTAGCCAATGCATTATTTCGCTGTAATTGCCAACCTACCCTTGCCATACCCGGAGAAATCGAACCAACGCTTCGGAAAAAGTCTGCGAAATGGCTTCCACCCCAGCGGGACTTTTCTGATGAGACCTTTTCGAACTGCCTATTGAGTTGGGATCGTGGCAGGCGGTTGATCGTTTCAGGTATAGATACAGCCATTCCAAAAGCTCAGGAAACACAAGTCTGTGGCAAGCCTTACAGGGCCTTAAAATTGCTCCCTTACGGTCCGGGAGCCACGCAACTCTGAGGCCAAGTTGCAAAGCCATAGCCCAACGTAAGCTCCTGTGGTGCATCCCAGCACCAGCCCTTCCGCGGATAGAGGAACATGCCTGGCAAAAACACACCAGAGTTGTGAGCTGAACCAATATCATGTGTAAATTCTCAACTCCACTCTACGATTCTCCCAGAGGGTTGATAAGTACTTAAGCAGGATTCGCGTAGGCCCCATGGTATTTCTACAAGAACCCGTTTGGGCCCAATGTATGTTCAAGACTGGTAAGAGTCAGCTGTCAGACCAAGTTGCTCTTAAATTCAACTTGTCCATCTTCCGTGGGCCGTGCGCAAGGCACCATCACCAAGTTGTTCATATCCTAAGATGCCATGGTAGCTTCGGTAGAACAGCTTTCATGTCCTTCTGACACCGATTGCTTGAAGCAGGGAGAATAGGGCTCCTTGACAACCTTCGCCCCCAACTCTGCTGTACTTTCGGATTATCTGCGACAGGAAATCAAAGGATTGTGTCGGAAAGTGCGTGGGATCATGAACCTCTGCTGAGGCCTGTGCTCCAAGCCCTGAATGCAGGCACTTGCCTTGTCTACGGTGTGGGCTTTGGGCTGCAGAGCAACGGCTGTTTTGCTGTCTTGTCCCAAAAGCCACAAGCATGAGGAGCCTTCTTCCACGTAAGACTTGCGCCAAGGCAAGGCGTGAGTTCTCCTGCAGAGAGCCTAAGGAAACAATGTCGGTCTACAGCTGGCCATCTCCAAATAAAGCTGCGACTCCAGCCTACCTTCTTGAAACCAGCTTTTCTCCAGGTTCTTGTATCCCTGCAGTGGTAGCTACCTTTCCTGGTGCTCCTTTATGGTTTCTTACCATTCTTCATACTTATCTGATTCGATCGATACATGCAGATCTGCAACAGTACTGCTGCTGTTGCATTGTTTGCATGTCCAGACTAGTTAGCTGTTAATTACCAAGCTTAACTCCGATAAACGTAGACATTCAGCAGGTCTGCTTACCCAGCTTGTCCCATGGGTACAGCTATTCTGCCCCGCCAAACCGGCTGCTTTGCAGTTTCAGATCCCTTGCCAGAATCCCAAGCTGAAAGCTGAGACCTTGAAGCCTAAACCTTTTGTCGTTCAGAAATGGCTCAACATCCTTGACGTTGTACTCTGCTTGATCTTTGCAGCAGCCATACAACCTTAGTGTCAGAGCTTCAAAGTGTTCTATAGTTGTTGCCTTCGTAGTGATCGTCAGAACTTCTGGAAGCACTGATATAATCGTATTTCAAGCTAGTCGGCCTCTTCTATGGGCAAGGCACTCGCTCTCCCTCCCTCCCTCCCTCCCTCCTGCACTGTGCAATGCCATCCAACAATGGCCAAAAGCAAAAGGTGAATTAGAATCAAGCTTGGGGACATATTCTACTATACAGCTTCAAGATTTGAACAGCAGGGGTGTAAGAAAAAGGCTTGACATTCTTGGCTAAAAGGCGAAGTTGTTGTCCCTGTGTTCGGCCTCCCAAGACTACAGCTCCAAGAGCTACAGTCCCCCTCAAGTAGATAGAATATGGAGTATATGGGGATCTTATTATGATATACCCAAGCCATATTCTATCTACTTAAAGGGGACTATATCCCCAGGCGTGCATACATTAA